TAGGGCTGAGGGCTTAGGGTTTAGGGAAACCGAAGCTCTAAACCCTGTGATAGCCTCGAGCATCCTGTAAGAAGTAACTGGCGATAGGGCTTAAGGGGGAGTTTGGGGTTTGGGTCTTTGGGCTTTGAGGATTGAAGGCTAATAGGACTCGTTTTCGTGAGAAACCAAGGCATCAGAAGCCGAAGCCCAGTTTGGTTGAGGGTTTCGGATTTTTCGGGATCTGCTTGCATATTGGTAGTACACGTGGACCCCTTGCCACCCCACATAAACACGTTCGCTTTACGCAGGTGCACTCCGGCTGCCTCAAATAGGGCCCTGAATTATCAGTAAGGCCTCAAACCAAAAAGCATGTGTCTGCCCTACACCCAAAGAAACCCCAAAACCAGAAAGGCCCTAACAACCCTAAAGACCCTGAACACCCTGAACACCCTAAAAACAAAGGCCCGAAACCGCAAGAAAAACCTTCAAGGCTAAGCCCTAACCCTACAATCTAAATCCTGCACCCGGAAACCCTAAACAAACCCGAAAACCCAAACCCTAAACCCCTTCTAACTCCTCGAACCAGAATCCTCAAGCGGACCTTTCGCCAGGGACCTTCGATGGCCCAGACAGATCGTTCTCATGAAGACCCGATCTCAGCCTAGACCCCCCAACTACCCTCTATTTTACTTTGGATACCCCCTATGCTAAGGATCGTAAGGGCTCTACTTAAAGGCACTTGGAGGTCCTGGAGATAGGATGTACAGTTTAGGGCTTGGGGGCTTAAGGTCTACATGGCTTCAAGTCAAGGGTTTAGGGATCGAGGGCTTAGGTATTGGGTTTAGCATGGGTTAGGGTTTTTTGGGGTTTAGGGCGCTCGGTTTGGGGCTCGCTTGAAGACGGATGTTTTAATTATCTAAACTGCAGCACCTAGCGGCACGTGGTCGGGACATCTTCCAGGGGGTCGTAGGTGTCTGAATAGTCCTTGTTAGAATCCTCATATCTCCAGAGTCCCACAATGCGTGTGCAGTATTATATAACATAGGAGCCTAAAAATTACCTATATTTTTTTTTTGGGGGGGGGTCCTTAACATAACTGTAGTATAATATGCCCCAAAAACCTTTTCTAATTAGTAAGGCCCCTGCATTACACCGAAACCCTACTCGATACAGGGCCTGCATTGGATGAGGGCCCACTTCCAAGCTTACCAAATCCTAACCCTAAGCCTAACCCTATACGGTAAACCCTTGAAGCCTAATCCCGGAACCCTAACCCCTAGATTGCATCCTAACAACTTTATGACCCCTAACCCTAAGCCCGAAATCCCTTGACCCTCAACCCGAAACCCTCAACCCGAAACCCTAAACCCGAAATCCTAAACTCAAACCCATAACCTGTCTGCAAGGGGTCGAGCCTCACACGTTTAGGGTTGATGGTGTAATCTTTTTGGGTACCTTTCTTCCTTGCCATAAGACCCTGGTGGTAGGGGTTTGAGTTCAGGGTTTAGGATGGGTAGGCATTTGGGCTTGTCGGATCGTCAAGCTGTGGCCAGCTCGCACTACAACCTCAAGCCCCATACCCTGAACCCTAACACGAATGCTCCCTAAACCCTAAAACCTAACTGCCTAAACCTTAAAAACGCATAGGTCCTGATCCCTGTACCCTTGAATTCAAGCTCTGGGAGCAATAACCTGAACCAAAAGCCATACACGCCTTCTGAAAACCCTCTTTCAATTTCACGAACTGGCGTGCCTCTGTAAGAAAACCTATGTGTAAACCTCAGCCCTCCGACACTACTACCCAAGGAGCTGGCCCGCTAATATAAATAAGAAGCAACAGAAATCTACAGTCGTAGCACAACAGAACCCTACAGAACAACATGTCAGCTTTACAGTTCCTACAGACCAATTGGTTAAGGTGCCTTCTTGAAGGGATTCCGATCACTGAACTTGGGGTAAAGGCCCTGTCTGTCTTCCCAACGCCACAGCCTCATCATCGAGGCTTTGAAACCCCCAAACCCTAGCCCTAAGCCCGGAAACCCCTAAACGTAAACCTTAAAACCGTAAGCCCTAAACCCTAAAACCCCTAAACCCCAAGACCCGAAAACCCCTAAGCCCTAAACCTCCTAAACCCCCTAAAACCATTAAATCCCCTGAGCCTTTTTCCTCAACCCCTTAAATCCCCTTAGCCCCAAAACCTAAACCGCCTCAACTAAACCCCTAGCCCCGAAAATCCCCTAAGCTCTAAAGCCCTAAACTGCCTAAAACCCCTAAATCTCCTAAGCCCTAAAACCCTAAACCCCCTAACCCCCTAAACTTCCTAAACCTCCTAAAACCACCGAAAACCTCTAAGCCCTAAGCCCTAAAACCTAAACCCCTGTCGCCCTAAAACCCTAAACCCCCTAAACCTCTAAAGCCCCGTAAGCCCTAAAACCTCCTAAACCACCTAAATCCTCATTTCTATACCCCCTAACCCCACTAAAACCCCGTAAATCCTAAACCCTTATATAACTTATATACTAAACCCGAAACCCCAAAACCCTTAAATCCTAAAACCCTAAACCCTCCTAAAACCACCTAAAACTCCATAAATCCTAAACCCTTACTCAACCCAAAACCCCAAAGCCCTAAACACCACTAAAACCCCACTAAAACCCTGTAAATCCTAAGATCCGACTAAATCCCAAACCCCAAAGCCCTTAAACCCTAAACCCCACTAAAACCCCGTAAATCCTAAACCCTTCCTGAACCCAAAACCCTAAACCCTAAACCCTCCTAAAACCCCCCCTAAAAGCCCGTAAATCCTAAAGTCTCTGCCGCGCTGGAGGCCCGAGTCTGCCAACTTCACCATGCCAAAGGGCTCGGGCGCCCGTTCAGGGTTTTTAGGGGTTTAGGGGTTTAGGGTTTTTTTAGGCTTTTGGGGAATTTAGGGGTTTTAGGGTTGAGGGTTTTTTTTTTTTTTT